CTTGCACCAAGGAAGGTTTTTTTACAGTTGTGCTCAAAAATTTGCATACCCTGCAGGATATCCATGACATTTTGGCATGATATTCTAAAATATGACTGATCAAGCCACAAAACTGCATTTTTTATTTAAGGACAGCCCAGTGATCATATGAAGCCAACTTATTTCTATAGTTGTGTGGCGTCCTTTTGATAAATCATATGGGATACAAAAATCACCAAAATGGCCCTGATCAAATGTGTTACATTACCCTGCGAATGATTTTGCCTTTGTACGAGGACACACCAAGGTCGACACACACAGGTTTTAAAATGCCAATTAAAGCTTAATTTTTCCACATCTGTGCCTTTAAATTGCATTTAGTGTCTGTGTATAGTCAATGAGTTTGTTAGCTCTCATGGGGATGCACTGAGCAGGCTAGATTACTGAGCCATGGGGAGCAGGAAAAGAACTGTGTCAAAATTTTTTTTTATTTTATTATTTTTGTTTTTTTTTTCAATTTGTTTATGGTTTTCTATATTTCTATAATTATGTATAATTAATTTTCTTTTTTTACGATTTTATTTTTCAGCATACTGTGACCAAAGCAATACAATGTTACCACAGTAAATTGAACTACTTCTGGGCAAGTGATACAGGATTTTGTTTTAACACATTATGATTGCTAATACTAATGTATTTCATGGATATTTGCAAATCATGTTATGAATGAAACTGATTCATTCAGTCCTTATGCTGTATTCTAGTGTGATGGGCAAAGCTGATCACATGATTCAGATGGGCTGTGGATTGGCCCTTTGTAGTGATATGTCATGGCTGTGTCCTGAGGGACACTGCGGGGATTTGTCAGATCTCGCCGCTGTGTGCAGCTCCGCTAGAGTGGCTCTTTTGTCAGGACGTCATTATATGCCCACCCGACAGTCACAATGGTGAGTGTTCCGCCCAGGCCCTCCCAATCTGCTATGGCCGGGGCCGGAAGGTGTTAGGAAGTGGCCCCCCCCCCCCCCACCCCCCCCCCCCCCCCGGAAAATTCTGGGGATCTCCTTGATACCAAGTTAAGGTCAGGTAGATACTCGAAAGATTTCGCCACAATCTGCCAGAAGGAAACTGTTAGGATACAAAGAAAAAACCACACAGGTAATCTAGGAGAAATATAGGCCTGCATCCTGGAAAAAAGACGGTGAGTTGTTTTAAGGAACCACCATTACAACAATAGCTTAAAAAAAAATGAGCTTTGCATCGGCTCGAGTTGCTTGAAAAAAGCCTTTTTCTGCACCAATGCCACATAAAAGCCTAGTGAGATCGTGTCAAGGTTTGTAGTTGGGCATATTGTAACCAGACTTTTTTGTTGTGACATTGGCCACAGTAATGTCTTCTTTCTGGCAACTTGACCATGCAGCTAAATTTTGTTTTAAGTATTGTCGTTTATTGTGCTTCTTTTGGAAAACAACCACACCTCTTCTATTTTTTCAGAGCAGCCACCTTGGAATTCATACATTACCTTGAGGTGTACAAAAAAAATACATTCACCAGGTGTTTTTTTGGCCTGAGTACACATGTTGTAGGAATTAGTCATTGGCAATGCACCATAATGATCGTCAACAACAACTCAAAATAATGCAACAAAAGCAGACATACGACGTATGATTGACTTCTTAAAAGGAATGTATTAATGCTCTTTTGTACATAATTTCTTGGGTTTACTAAAGCCACAATTTCCAAAAAAGGTACAGCAGGTGGAACTTTATGCTTTTCTGCATCTCCTTAGCTCCTTTGATGTTAAAAACTTGGATGGTTTACAGAGAATTCAATGGCCAAGCTACTTTTGCCCATTCAAGGAAATAACTTTTGCTTCTCTCTCGCTTTGGGACATCCATTGATGCTGGAATGGCTCTATCACATGTATTTTTTTTTTTGCAAAACAAAGAATTGACACCTTAGAACATCGTTAAAACTGCAGTGTAATATCATTACCTTTAAATAAAATAAAAAACTGTACCCCCGAATTTGGCAGTATTTGCTTTTATAATACCATAGCTGTCAAAATTTATTTTCTCAGGCAGCAATGCTGCAGATAAGACCAGCTCAAAGCTCAACCCCCTTTTAATTTAAGAGCTTTGTCTCTGACTCCACAGGGCATGTGGGTAATGGCTTCAGATAGGCTGGCTGTTTCCACAGATTTGAGCAGGCCAGTCTCCTTCCATTAGAGAGAGATACTTTGTGCATGCTGCTTGCTATCGAGATCTAAATACAACACCAGAAAAGAGAAAGACAGACACTTTCAAAAAGGTTTTGTTTGTTTGCAGTGTTTCGAAAAGAATGATATGTTCCTTTGTGGCCTCTGGAAAGGATGCATACGGGCAGACCATTCACCTGCAAGTGACAACGGCACTAAACTTTCACTGACTAATGCGCCATGTTTGTGGTAACCATGCTGTAAGAATGCACATTTTAGTACTCTCTTTAGTACTATCAATACAATCGTCCCAGGTCCTTGATCCAAAATAAAGCCCCCGCCAGATCATCCAAATAAAAAATAAAGATGTTATTGGCACCCACCTACAGGTTCCAGGACAGGTTGCTATGACAGTGGTTTTTCGTAGGTCAGTATCCAGCTGCTCTAGGAGTTCTGATGTCACTTGACCTGGGACAAGTGTGTTTGGAGCCTGGCTGACCTGGAAGAAACGAGGTTATGCTGTCTCTGTTCCTGGGAAGACGCGTTTCTAGAGTGTCCTCTGACCCGTGGGATGTGAAGAGATTCTGATTGTCGTCTGACCTGGAAGGATGAGGTTCTGAGTCCTCTGCATGTCCTGGAACATGTGGTCTGAGTCTCTGACCTGAAAGAAAAGTTCTGAGTCTCTGACCTGGAACAAGTGTTTTGAGCCTCTGACCTGGAAGAAGAGTTCTGAGTCATGGAGTCTGACCTGGAAGAACGAGTTCTGAGTAATCTCTGACCTGGAAAACAAGTGTTCTGAAGCTTCTCTGACCTGAAAGTTAAGAGTTAGTGAGTCTCAGACCTGGAACAAGAGTTTTTGAGTCTCTGATGTGAAATAAGGGTTGTGTTTTGAGTCTCTGACCTGGAACAAGTGTTTTCTGAACCTCTGACCTGCAAGAAGAGTTCAGAGTCTCTGAACCTGGAAACAAGTGTTCTGAACCTCTGACAGCTGGAAGACAAGAGTTCAGAGTCTCTGACACTGGAACAAGTGTTCTGAACCTCTGACCTGGAAGAAGAGTTCAGAGTCTCTGACCTGGAACAAGTGTTCTGAGCCTCTGATCTTATAAAACAGGTATTTCTGAGCCCTCTGATCCTGGACCAGCATGCAGATCGGTGAAGTACTCAATGTTTCTTGTGCTATCTGTTTCAATCAGGGACTCAAAGTGTTGAAGCCCTAACGTTAGCATGACAGCCAGTCAACTGTAGTCTTTTCAGGAGAGTCCAAAAAAGTAAGTTGTTTCTCTAAATTTCACTTTAAGTGCGTTTTTCTTTTAAAGCCACACACTGGGCACCAAAAATGTCACTTACAATCGGGCCTCCACACTGAAAGAGTTGAATACTGTTTACAAAAAAAAAAAAAACATCACCCCCCCAAAAAAAAAAACCAAAAAACCGGGCAGACTTGATGGACCACTCAGGCTTTTTTCTCTGCCGTCACTTTTCTATGTTTTCTATGTTTATGTCTAGCTAGTGGCAGAAAAATGTACCTTATTCTGCTTGTCCTCTATAACAGGCTCCCCACTAGTTGTAAGGCTGATTAACACTGCAGATTTCTTCGTTTAAGCTCTCTCTAAGCTGCTCAAAACAGTGATCACACCATCAATCCACGTACAATGCAGGGTACTAGCCTTACATTGTATGTGATGATGCCGAAGGACTGCCCACAGGCTGAAGCGCTGGGTAGAAGAGGACAGCGCCAGTGGGGGGGTTAGACTTATAGTAAATCGCTGCATTACCATGCTGCTATTGCCATGTCGTGTAATGTGAGTTGTTGTAATCAGGGGGCGGAACCTGACAACTCATGGGTGCCCCAGGGCGAATAGGGGATCATGGGGCCCCTGTGTCCTTGGCCCAAACTCAAAAAAAAAGCTCTATGAAAAAATAGGTTACCAGTGTGGCATCTCATTTGACCCCCCTACTGACCTCCGGGCCCTCGGGCAGTGCTGAGTTTCCCAAATGGTCAGTCCGCCCTTGGTTGTATATAAGGGCAGCACATTTATTGTGTGTGTTATGCACTGCGACACGGGTGCATTGGCAAGGTGTGACAATTAAAGTGACTGTATCACTCACAGGGGTCACCTGTACCACAAAAGCTAAACCTGTACAAGGACTATACGTACTTTTCCAGCGATCCATGTACCCAAAAGCCGCCGCACTATCTATCTATAAATATATTTTATTCATTACAGGTACTTATATAGGTAGGTAGTCAGTGGTATATTTTTGGTTTTGTGCTGCCCTAGGCTAGACTAGATCTAAATCGGATGCCCCCCCCTCGCATCTAAATCTTGGCCCACCTCTTTTGTTTAAGATCACCCCTTCAATACAGGTGGGGTGCAGAATGACGGGGGGGGGCAACCGAGACAGGGGATGGGGGCAATGTGGCAGGAGAAGCTCACCAGTCCTTCAAGCTCTAACCTGTCCAGCAGTGGATCCTCCAGATGGTGTCAGAATCTGGTGGTAGCTGAGCCTGTGTCCCATCTCAAAACCAGTATCTCCGCAGCTGCAGAAAAGAGTGGAGGGGTTCTTCCACCCTGACCGTTGTCCTCTTCTGCCTCCTCCATAGGCCCTCGTGCTGGGCACCATTGGTCCTCACTTACCCAGCACAGCCCGGCGGCACACTACAGAACATGACCGGAGCCTGCCTGGGACTCAGTGTGCCCAGCCCCAATCTGCTCCCTGATGCACTCACTGGGGATCCCCTTGTGTGTCAGCTTGTCCCCCCTCTAATGGCAGGCCTGCCATGTGTGCTATACATTATTTGCCGCCCCCCTGTAAAATGCCACCCAAGGCAAACGTTGTGTTTGCCTTGCAGTAGATACGCCCCTGTTAGGTTAGTTGCCTTGGTTGGGATAAGAATCAACGGCTTACAGTGCTGCCTAACGCACATGATGACGCAACTGTATTATATTATGGGTTTTTTTTTGTTTTTTGGGGGGTTTTTGTGAGACAGAAACACACAGAGAAATGCATATCAAACACATAAAAGGCACATGCCATATTACATAAATTACAAAACCCATGAAACTGCATGTATGTTAAACATTGAGTGTGCACGGCAGGCAGTTTTTTCCTAGCACCATCATATTTCCCTGTCACTGTTTCAGGGCAAAAAAAAACAATAGGCTAGATGAGTACTGTACAGTGCACAAGTACACATCGCTACTTAGACTAGAGAATAAAACAGTTCTGTACAAAATGTACCATGCAGCTCCACTCCTGTTAAAGAGAGCATTGTTCACCAGGAAGTCGTCGTACTTTGCATTGCATCATCCTCTTGTCTCTCTGCTTATTTATTTCCAAGAAATGACACAGGGAGATAAGATTGACCAGATGGCTGCGTGAACAGGCGTGCTGTCATTTGCCCATTTAGAGCAAGTTGCAGAGTCTTCTGATAGCAAACCCCCCCCAAAAAAAGCAAGTCTTTTTTTTTTTTTACTCATGCCTAATCTTTATTGCCCCTTGATGCAGTAGTCCACCTTGGGTAAGCCCTGGTGTCCAATGGTGTTGGATCTTACAAGGGTGACCTTACATCCCCCCAGTGAGAGTGTTTAGGTTTAGTGATTAGCCACTGAGACCCCAGCACTTTTACACTGGAATGTCCCCCATACACAGAAGTCCCTCCAATAGACCAATGAAGCGAAGGCTGTGATGGAGCGATGAGGTGGCAGAGCAGTGTGTATAGATGAGTACACCTTGCTGGGATGGCTCCAGGAGACATTTATATGCACACACACGCCATATCTGTACTCTAAAGAAACTGAAATTAAAGAATTAATACACAGTATTACAAACAAATTATCACCAGCAAATAACCTCTATGTTTAAGTAGTGGTATACATGTGGTCAAGCTGGCCCAAAGAGTGGGGTCCTTTGCTGATGTATGCTACTCCCAACACACTAGGTTGGCTGCTAAGAGCTGGATGAACTAGAATAGCGTATGTTTTGCCCATGGATTACAATAACACGATAGATTCATACACTGGAATTGATCAAAAAACTGAAGCAGACAGAATCTGGAGCAGCTGTGCATGGCAACCAATAAGATTCTGTCTCTCATTTTCAATGTTTAAAAATGGAGCAAAAACTTATGACAAAAAGAAAACTGTGAGCAGGCGGCACATTATTGCTATGTCTCTTCTGCAAAAGCAAATGTAGCACCCTCCTAGTTTTAGCTAGGGGGGGCTAAAGCCCTGATTGTCAGTGAGTAAATGTGTAATACCCAGAAGGTCAAATTGTGTGGTCAGGAGCTGAGAGGCTCTGCAGGCCAGCCCCTCTGGAATTCCCCCCCTGCTCTAGGGCTTTGGAGGAAGGTCCTAAAGGCAGTGGGTGGATCTGAGGAGTGGCTGGCTTGCAGTCTTAAGGGATCCTGGGGAATGCCCAACAGGAAGTTGGAAAGTGGCCAGGACACCCTTAAAAGTGTTGGAGTTGCTCAGTTGCAGGAAACTTTGGGTGGAAGATGTGAGGCTAAAGGCAGGTGGCAGAGAGAAGGACCAATGGGATGGGGCCTACCTGCAGGCCTGGAGCTTGAAAGGGAGAGAAGCACAGAAGACTTTCACTTGGCCCCAGAGTGAGGACCACCTGTATTCAGGGAAGGAATGGCCCAGCTGGAAAAGGCCTGTTCAGGGATACCTCCAAAATGCTGGGGTGAAAAAGAGGAGTTCATCTAGGATCTGGCCTGGGTGGTATATTAAGGAGACTCCAACAAGACTGTGCAGCAGAGAAGGCTACACACCCAATCCCTATCCCAATTCAAATCCCTAAATAAAACAAACAAAACCAAAGTTCAAGGACTGATCTCTGACGCTAGATGCAAGCTGTGTAAAGATGCGTGATGCCTGGCTGTACAGGACTATAGGAGGACCCAAATATTTTTAGTGACTCCTAAGGGGGTAGTTTGTATTCGGTGTGCTACACAAACACTTTCCTATCTGCTCGCAACCTTCTGTTTAATGTACACTGAGCTGCACATGCACAGCTCAGTGGGCATTTCTGGAACACTTCATCTGTGCCAGACTGATGACATTCCCCCACCCTACAATCAAGAAGCCAAAAACCCAGCACCCAGACATAGTTACCTTACCCACCCCCGCAGCTGCATGTATACAGTTGGTAGGTGTAGAGTGTGCTCAGTGTGAGTGGGATTTTTCTCATACTTAATAAAAGGAATATATTACAATTAATTACGTAAAAACAACACTATGGAGGATCTCTTTTTTTGCTCACCATGTATATTGGTGAGATACATATTTAACAGAATTATCCTTCCTGAGTGACCTGGAGTATTGTAGGAGAGGAAAACTACAGGTGAAGTAATACCAGCCAGGATTGGAAGTAGGATCCCAGGGGTGATCCTGAAAGTTATATGGCCCTTTGGGTAAAAAAAAAGGAGGTGAGGAAGGCATTGTAGCCACTGTGGATAAAGTGTGCTGACACTTTCAGGGATTTCAACACCATCTTCACGTTGAATGATTTTGATAATTTGAAGCACTCACTTTTTTATTCATAGACAATTAGAGATTTTTTTTTTTTTTTAATTTGTATGTGATTTGTTGTGTGGTCAATTTGGCACTTACCACGTTTGCATTATATCCCCTTGTATACAACAGGGGTCTTTGGTATTTTAGTGATCAGTTCATATTGTGGAATATCACTTTAATTAGGTCACCTAGGTGACCATAGGTCACACAAATTTTGGGCACTTTATGTAATTATAATCATATTTGTCTTAGTGTTTTGATTGGTTTATTTAAGATAAGCGCTGCACTACTTTTTGAATTTTGTTGAGTACTGTTAAGGTATCAGTTTAGAGTGTCAGCAGCTATTTTTCAGGCTTTGCTTCCTTTAAGCGCAGAAGGATTTTGTTGATACATTTGTACTTGTCAGAAAACGTACCTGCTCCCAGAAAAAAAAAACACCAAATTTGTTAGAGGGGGGGAGAGGAGGAGGATGAGCAGAACTTTCACTCGCTTTTAAGTGAAGGTCTACTTTAAATTCCAGTCACTGTCCTAGAAGGAACAAGTAGAAAATGTTTTTTTTTTCTTTTTTTTTGTAAAGGTGTATTAACATTATAAGACAAAGACTTTTTTTTAAAAGAGAAGTTTGGGTTAAAAAAAGTAATTTTTTTTGTAAAGGTGAACTAACCCTCTAAATGTATTGGAGCCAGTCATCAGACATTTTTAGTAGGAGGCAGGGGCGGACTGACAACTCATGGGGCCCCCCGGGCAATAGGGGATCATGGGGCCCCTGTGTCCTTGCCCAAACTCAAAAAAGCCTATGAAAAAGGTACCAAGGGCATCTCATGGGGCCCCCTACCGACCCCGGGCCCTCGGGCAGTGCCGAGTTTCCAAATGGTCAGTCCGCCCTGGTAGGGGGTCAACAGTGGCAGGCTATATAGATTTCTTTTGGCAGGTTTACTCTAAAGGGATTCTGTAAGGAAATATAGAAGCTGCTGATAGCTTTTACATCTGTCATCCTGGCTTCACTAGGATGTGGAAACAAGCAATGTAGCCAGTGAGGACTGAAACACCAGCTTAATGTTTGTTACAGGTTCACATTCCCCAAACCTGGATCATCCTCATTATACTCTCCTGCTGCTGAGCAGGCTCCACTACCATACCTCCCAAGTTTTGAACTTCAGAATGAGGGACACTTGAGGGAGGAAGTGACCTGCGGAGTGCGTAGCACACTGGCAAAAAAAATGGGTGTGGCCAAATGCTTAACAGTGGGAGGGGCCTAAGGGGCATGGGTAAACAAAACCCGGGCTTCCTTGTACCTATAAAATATGCTTTGATTGCTGTGTACCACAAGCAAGAGTCTCACAGACACAGACCCAGCAAAATTGTTTAAAAAAAAAATAATAAAAAGCTTTCATTACAAATGGTTTTGCACTGAGTGTGGAAGAGTGTGTTACACAAAGTGTGGAAGGATTTAGGAATGCCTTATGCACAGAGTGCAGGGTTCAGAAGTGCGTTTCATACAGAGTGCAGGGTTCAGAAGTGCGTTTCATACAGAGTACAGGATTCAGGAGTGCGTTTTATACAGTGTGCAGGATTCAGGAATGCGTTTTTTTTATACAGTGTGTAGGATTTAGGAATGCATTTTATACAGTGTGCAGGATTCAGGAATGCGTTTTATACAGTGTGCAGGATTCAGGAATGCGTTTTATACAGTGTGCAGGATTCAGGAATGCGTTTTATAACAGTGTGCAGGATTCAGGAGTGCGTTTCATAAAGAGTGCAGGATTCAGGAGTGCGTTTCATAAAGAGTGCAGGATTCAGGAGTGCATTTCATACAGAGTACAGGATTCAGGAATGCGTTTCATACAGAGTGCAGGATTCAGGAGTGCATTTTTCATACAGAGTGCAGGATTCAGGAATGCATTACGTACAGAGTGCAAGGTTCAGAGGTTTACGTAGACCACAAAGACACCAATTAAACATACACTTACATTCTAAAATCTTGTTGCCCTCCAAGCCATTTTTTGCAAAAAACAGCGCTGTGTTAATTTAACTGACAATTGCGTGATCATGCAATGCTGCACCCAAAGGAAACTGAAGTCCTTTTTTTGCCACAAAAAGAGCTTTATTTTGGTGATATTTGATCACCTGTGCGTTTTTTATGCTATAAACAAAAAAAAAAAAAAATCAAATTTTTGTCATAAATTTAGGCCAAAATGTATTCTGCTACATGTCTTTGCTAAAAAAAATCCCAATACGTGTAAATGAATTGGTTTATGTGAAAGCTATAGCGTTTACAAATGGCGGTGTATATATACTGGAATTTAGTTTTTTTGTACTAGTAATGGTGGCGATCAGCGACTTATA